GAGGAAAAAGATAAAGAAGGAAATACTATAAAAATAGCGGAACAAAAAGCAGTTTCATATGGATATACAATACATTGTTCAGATGGAACAACGCAAAAACCAGTAATCAATCGTGAATCAGAAAATATAATAAAAGACTTAATGGAAAACCTTAAAGAAGATCTAGATGTTGTTTTAGATAAGCTCTGTGATCCACTACCATGCGAAAAAATGACGCCAAAATTATGGAGGCAGTATCAAATGGCAAGTAAGTGCTGGATATGTGAAGAAAAATTACATGAAGCTGGATATAATAAAATTCGTGTATTCGATCCTGAAACCAAAAAATATTTAGGTGCTTCACATAGGAAATGTCACGGGAAAAAACCAATGATTCAAGGTAAGTTAGATGATGAACAAAAAAAAGTTCATGGCACGTGTAAAAAATGTATGTATTGTAAAACACAATTGCCAGATGAAGGAAAAAATAGGGTACTAGATCATGACCATATCACAGGAAAATTTCGAGGAGCATCGCATAATTAATGCAATCTGAAATTACGAATTGATCCAGAAACAATAAAAATTCCAGTACTATTATGTAATGGGAGTGGCTATGATTTTCATCATCTTATGCAAGAAATAGCTAAAGTGACAGATGAAAAAATAGTGCCTATAGCAAATAATTCTGAGCAATATATTACCTTTTCAGTTGGTCAGCTTCAATTTATTGATAGTTTAAAATTTTCGTTACCAGGTTTAGCTAAAATGGCAGAAAATTTACGTGATGAAAAGAAGGGTCAAACAAAAACGCCAGAACAATTAGCAAAATGTTTTCCAATTATGTCGAAATTCTTCTCACCTTATTTGCTATCTACGATGGCAGAGAAAACTGATAATAGAGTTTGTGGAACCATTCAGGTAAGTTTTTGCTCAAATTTTATCCTCAAACCGATTTAACAAACCGTTTTTTTTTTTTGCGTAGGTCACCGGAAAGAATTGTGATTCCATTCGGACCAGAGGGCAAGATGGTAAGCCCGACTTATTTTCGACAAATACTAATAATAACAGTATGGGACGCAATATGCCTTCTTTGGACGTATTATGTCAGCCGACCTTCCAGGAAAGCAACATTACAAGAGCAGAAGAAATATCTTGCAAAGAGTCTGGAACGTTTAGCCGAGAAGATAGTAAAGATGGAACCAAATACAATACACCGCCCTCGGAAAGTAAATCTCACGTATTCACAACGAAAGGGGAAAGTGAAGAGGTTCATGTTCGGTGTGTCGATTCGTTGCGGACCTTCACCACCGTCAGAAACAACACTAAAACACAATGCGGTAGTGGCACCAGCGTCAAGAGTGAAAACGATGTTGATATTGCAGAAAGCTTCAAATATTGCCCTGACCAAAGAGCAATCCATTTATTGCAGGCATCCTTTGGGGAACTGTGCCGAATCGGTATCCTGGGAGGCACTACGTGGACAAAGAAAATCCAGACGAAACCGTGCCGTCTTGTACTCGCGCACCCTTGCATTACCGAAGAAACAAGGAGAACAATTGAAGGTCTCAGATCCATGTCTCAAATGTCAGAACGTATTGAACAAGATGAATCACTTCGCAATAATACACTTATGGTAGTTGACACGTTTAAAGATGAATCTAGCCGTCGTCATCTTGCAACTTCTATTGGTTGCGATCTTCCTGTTAATAGTGATGATCCAAAAGAACTTACCTATTATATGACAAATGTTGCACAATTCGGCTTTGATCATATCATTATAATTGGGGAGATTGAAAATGGAATGATTTTTTTGGATTGCTATGGTCGTGTGTTTCAATGGGAGGAAGAATGTCAGATGTTGTGGCCACTCGGAAATTCTTTGGAAGAAGCAATGTCAAATGGCGAGAAAAATCAAGTGCCATGGTATTGGGAGTATGATGGAGCCGTATATGAGTTCAAAGAATTACTTCAACGTATGTGCAAAAAATGTTATTGTAATGTTGCATTAGTTGCCGATAACTTTATTTAATAATTTTTATATTTATTCTAGAAGAATCTATTGATGCAAAAAAAGAAATTAACAAGAGATCAAAAAAGAAAAAACATTAATAATATGTTAAGAATATGGAGGTACATGAAAAAAAAACGTGCCCTTGTATAATATACGCAAATCGTTAATTATGTTTTGCATTATTTTTGCAAAATGCACTAGCTCTCATAGCAATTTGAAAAAAAAAAATAGTGAAGATGTATTTGAAACCGCCAAGTTAATAAAGTTTCGGAGCTTACTTTGTTTGCCTTTATGTTCACTTGTGTATTGGAAAAATAATAATAATATGCTTATTTTATTGTATCATCATTATTATTATGAACATTTAAAGTTTTGAGTTTACTAAATGAGACCCAATTCTCGAAGATGCTCTGGGATAACTATATATGGGTCTTCGTAATGCCAAACATATCTTAAAACAATCCAATTTTCTTCACACAATTCATTCTTGAGTTGATCCCGTGCTTGCTGTTTAATAAAATTATTGGGATCGCCTCCAAGAAAGAATTCGTGATATTTTTCGTGTTGTATGCCTTGTACTTCGATTGAGAAGCCATATTGCGGATAAAATATATCAAGTTCTAGTCCATTTGGATATTCTTGTGTCTTTAAGAAATTGGGTCTGCAGATTGGTGAAGGGGCACCGAGATACTTTGTTAAAATCTCATGACACAGCTTTTCTCTCTTATATTTTGGACAGAATGGACACCATGAGTTTGAGCGTTTAACATTATCAAAAGTAGCAAACCATCTATGCTTTTTATCACACATCCATAATATTCAGAAAGACAAGCTCCCTTTCTATTATAAGCCAATTGTTTGGCATCTTCAAGTGTACAAGGCCTATTAGTTGCACAATATGGACACCACGTCTTATTATTTTTCACATTGTTAAAAGATGCATTCCACTCATGCCCTTCAGAACAACGCCATGATAAAGGTGAAAAACTATTATCATACATTTCAGAAAGGCATTCTCAATTGTAAGAGGTCTATTACCTGCGCAATATGGGCACCATTTTTTATATCATTAAAACTCGCCATCCAGTCATGTTTTCTAGTACAACGCCATAACAAAGGTGAACGATTAT